TATATTATTATTATTATTATTATTATTATATTACTATTATTATTATTATTATTATCATTATTATTATCATTTCGACAAAATAGGCCTAGATCTAGATCTAGGTCTTGCTACAAAACTTAAGGGCATAAATGATTCCCAATCTGAACTCATTCTCTATTGTGTAATGTGTAACCAATGATAGTACATAACATTATGTACTATCATTGGTGTAACCAGAGAGGGTTTACAGTAATAATAGTATTACTGTAAACTCTCTGGTGTAACTAATAAATATTTTGAAAGTACGGTAATTTATTATTTTTGCATTGGAACTCAAAAAAAGAATTGGAGACCTAGATCTCTTGCTGATACATGTATTTCCAAATCTGCATTTAGCCTACATGACAAATAATCGAAGATTAGCGAGGTGATACCCAAGACTCAGTAAGAGTGATACTAGATTTCTAGATCTTGAGAGTAAAAAAAGCTGATATATACATGTTCGGTGGGAAAGAGAGGCCAAACTCAAAGAGGAGCAAACCACGAGCACCCGCCAACTACCCATCCACGGCCTAGTCGCTTACTTCTTTGCGTTCCCCAGGGTGGTTTGACTTCTGCAGGGTTCTTCAACCTGCAGTGCAACTGATTTTTACACATGTGGCCGTTTTTCCTACTCGGGCCCCCTTGCCTTCAGACTCAGACAACTTATATTATTATTCCGATTTCGAAAGTACTCTGATATTTTAATACAAGACTGGCTGGAGTATTTTCAGTTTTGATAGAAATTAATTTTGAATGTTTCCCAGGTGGCGGCCGAAGCCTAGTATACTACATGTACTCGGTTATCGATTTTAGTTAGGACCACCAACAAAAGTTCTTTTACGTGCGCAACTTCCCTAACGAGCGACCACCCCAATAATTTAAAACACAATACAGTAGAGACCTAGAAGTAGAAGCCTAACCCAAACCCTACCCCAACCCCTTCTTGTGACCCTAGCTCTCTGTTCTAATAGAAAAGGTGTGTGGCTGAAAGACAGCAGTTACATAAACACGGACAAACTGGCGGGAAAATGCCTTTTTCTTCGATTTCACTATTTTGACTAGCGCCTGATTTCACAACGATGCCTCACAAATAGAGAAATAGAAACAAGAACTGAAAGCAAATTATTAATGGCAGTGATCAGAATTGTTCCATACTGAAACATAATGTTCCTATTAAGACAAAGCCATTAAAATGATCAACACTAACTTCATCCCATCACTTACCAATTATGAACGCCAAACATGAAATGTGAAGGAAGACATTTGAGCAAAGAATAACAACTTGTTTTATAAAATGTAGCTGTTTAAAATGCTCCCACTGACACAATTTAATTAAGGAGGCGGGTTACCAGACCTGCCTGTCAGGGCCACACGCGAGCTGAGAGGGATACAATCAATTATCCTAGTAGACAGACAGAGGTATGACATTTTCTTCTGTAGGCGGCAGTAGGCCTTAGTACATCATGTTGAATTAAAATTAATTTGAGATACTTTTGACACACACGCTTTTGTTTTAAATCTTTTGAAAATCTTAGTTTTAATAAGATTTCGAGTTTTAAAGCACCACAACTCAGATTAGCCATGATAAAAGTGCCGAACATTAGAAATGTATTAAAATCAGAAACTAGATAAATACAAAGTAGTAGGAGGAGCGTGAGATAATTATAGGCCTACAGCAATAGTTTTATCTAGTCTATACATTTGGCAACTTGGAAACAAATTTGTCACTTTTCCCATAAAACTACGACAGCCACAGAGTTGAAAGTTGGCAAGTACCTGCAAAAAGAAGGGGTCCCCATGACGGAGCCCGATTTTTTATTTATTTATAAGGAATTCGTATTTATAATTCCCTGAAAATTATATTTTTGACAAAAAATTCCCGTCCTTCTTTCGCCTTTGTGATTATTCCACTGAGAAACAGAACAAATCTGCGTAGCTGTCCTCCACAGCGGAAGTGCCGGAAGTGATATTTCTTGAGGTGCATTTTGTTTTGAGTATAGATCTAGATCTAGATCTAGACCTTT